TATACCATGGCTGCACCACTCTCGATTGTGAATCGGCCGGACTATTGGCACGCCCGGTGTACCGTTTCTATTCGGTATTGCCGTTTAACGTTATGATGTACAGGGATATTGTGCTGGTGACACAAGTGACACAACATTTACGAAGTTTATGATTGACCCCGTTCTGATGTGTATATACAGGCACATTGTACTATAACTCAAGCGACGCAACATAAAACCCTACAACCCTAAAACTCCTATATCTGACAACAGCCACTTGACCAGACATTGAGTACATCCAAACGAGGCACCGTGCACGCATGTGTGCACCTGTCACGCGATTACACACCTCTGTGAGTTGAGCCAAACTGTACAGACACGGACCCGTACCTGAAAAAGCCTTCGGTTCGAACTATTTTGAACAAGCAGTCGAAGATATTACTGTAAAGGAGACCCACGTGGTTCTTCACGGGCTGTGAGTACATGCGCGTGGAAACAACATCTGTGGAGATAGCAGGTAATGCATTTGTGTACGTTGTATGAGCGTGTTTGATGAGATGGGAACAACATCTGTGGAGATAGCGGGTAATGCATTTGTATACGTTGTATGAGCGAGTTGATGAGATGGAAACGACATCTGTGGAGATAGCAGGTAATGCATTTGTATACGTTGTATGAGCATGTTGATGAGATGGAAACAACATCTGTGGAGATAGCAGGTAATGCACTTGTGTACGTTGTATGAGCGTGTTGATGAGATGGAAACAACATCTGTGGAGATAGCGGGTAATGCATTTGTATAGGTTGTATGAGCGTGTTGATGAGATGGAAACAACATCTGTGGAGATAGCAGGTAATGCATTCGTATAGGTTGTATGAGCGTGTCGATGATACCAACAAACCGCAGTGAACCACACGCGTGAGAAGGGTCATCGGATGTCAACTGATACTCACGTGTACATGAACGCTATATCCATTGTACACCATCTAGCGATACCAAACAACGCAGGAGACCACTACAGAACTAGAACGACAATACGTTAACCAGTACGCATACAGCCCACGTAGGGTGTGTCAGACAAGACCAAACTATAGAACGACAATACGTTATCCAGTACGCATACAGGCCACGGTAGGGTGTGCCAGACATGCCCAAACTATAGAACGACAATACATTAACCAGTAAGCATACAGGCCACGTAGGGTGTGTCAGACATACTCAAACTATAGAACGACGGTACGTTAACCAGTACGCATACAGCCCACGTAGGGTGTGTCAGACATACCCAAACTATAGAACGACGATACGTTAACCAGTACGCATACAGCCCACGTAGGGTGTGACAGACATACCCAAACTATAGAACGACAATACGTTAATTAGTACGCATACAGCCCACGTAGGGTGTGCCAGACATACCCAAGGGGTTCATGCCCAGGGTGACCACGACTCCTGTTACTAGACTGGCGGTGACATGAGTCCACATACTGGATTCTTCCATGCCTGTATAGTCCACCACATATGCCTGCACGGATCCAATGTAAACAAGGTAGTGTGTATGTCAAGAGAAGAGGAGTGAAAGCAGCTCATAGGGCCGCATGGATCCAATGCAAAACAAGATAGTGTTATTGTGAGTGATAGCAATCGGACTTTGGAAGGAAACGAGGTGCGGAAAACCCCGAGTGAGTGTAGCGGAAAAACCTGGCTGACTTTAGCGGAGAAACCTGGGTGACTGTACTCGAGCGTTCATATGAGAGTATTAAGAAAGAGATGAAGCGCGCTCAGAGACTTCAGGTTCATGGTAATGGTACGGTAATAGTGTGTTGTGTCCTCATTGTCGTTGGGCTCGAGTTCAGGTGTACATGCATGCACCTGCACCTATGCATATACTGCCTATCTGCTCATGGTGACATACCACTGCAGCCGACTGCTCGAACTCGATACTGCCAGCAACCGGTTAAAAATACGTACACACACACACACGCG